ACATCTTAAAATGGACAGCTTACATTAGGATAAAGACCTCTACTTTTAATATTTATATAATTATTTGAAAGGGCACATGTGGGCTACATTTAGTGAAGGCATCCATTTTTTGGGCTGGACCAATGAGATCATTGAAATACAGGTTCCACAAATACTGGTTCATATAAACATGGCTGTCTTGTGTTTTTACCTTGGAAATCTCATTGGGTAACAGGCTATGGTTTGGTACAATGCTGATCCCTTTCACAAGAATGGTTACTTTAGCTTGCCTTTGGTCACCATTTTTCTAGTAACTAGTCATAATGTACCATACGTCACAAAAAAGGCTCAATCACCTCAGCACTCTAAATAGGCATTAAAAATATTTGTAGTAATTTAAAACTGATCTCCACCTTTAGTTTCAGTTTCAATAGTTTGTTCAGGCCAAGCTGGCCCAGACAAACTATTTCCAGCAATAACGTGTGGCCGCTGGATGTGCTGTATAAACAGTAAACAGCAGTTTGTTCCGGGCACGAGTCCTTCCTGTCTCAGTCCTGGAACAAAATAGCATTGGTGGGAGCAGCAGTCAGTCATTCTCAGGCAGCTTTGTATTCTATTTTAGTGAAAACAAAGTTTTGACTGGCTGAATCAGAGATTGTGACATCTTCAGCCCACCTCTCCGACTCTTGGACAGAATACAAAGCTGCCTATGAATGGCTAAGCGCTGCTCAGACCAACACTATTTGGTCCTGTTAGTGAGCCAGGAAGGTCTTGTCTGGCACCAGAACACACTTCTGCATACTGTATGTAGCCTCAGCTACAGTTTATACAACACATCCAGTGGTCACACGTTATTGCCAGAAATAGTTTGTCTGAGCCAGCTTGGCTTGAACAAACTATTTAAACTGAAACTAAAGATCAGCTTTAAATTAATGTGCAGTTATTTGCATCACCTCAACACTCTAATCAGGTCATAAACATATCTACACAAGTTTAAATTAAGGTGCAGCTATTTGCATCACCTTTTTGCACATTGGGGATATATTATTGGAAAACGAACGGAAAGGTTTTCTCAGACAACTCAGCAAACAATCAAGTTTAAACGATCATTCTTCAGCAGTCAACCACTCATTCAGCTCTGAAGCCAAATTTTGGTTGCTGTCGGTTGTCTGGAAATAGCACTTCCATCGCAGTTTTCTAATGGTTCGGGTACAAGGGATTTCTTTCAAATGCTGGCTTTTGCAGTTTTATACAGCAGTCTTTAAAACACATGCATTCAAATGCAAGTCACAATAAAAACCCACAAAAAGCTGCATTTGACCTGTTTTGCGTTCAACACAAAAGCATCTCAAGAGGACATACTGTGCCCAGAGAAATGCAACAGAAAGAAGGTCAAATGCAAAGCCAACTATTATAAAAGAAGAAAAAAATAAATGCAAATACTGTATTGAGCTGGTATTAGAGTCCTGTGCACAGCCGGTACAATATGTCTTTTATCATAACCTAGGAATTCAGCATTTCTGTTCCAGCTAGTACATGAGAGATTCCAAATGAAGCATCAAGTAAGGAGACAGAGCTTACAAATACAAAATACATAACAAATTATATGCTTGTCGCCATAAAAATACAAGATGGAGTCTGGATACAAAGAGGGTATCACATAGTATCAAAATGATCTCTCATTAGTGAAAGTCTTTTTTTTTTTTTTTTTTTGTTTCTGACTTGCGGGCAGTATGTACATCAGTCCAAACATGCCATGGCTTCACAAGACGGTACATTCCAAACTTCATGGTTCTTAATATATTACAAGCAAAAGCAGGGGAAGCTGATGCCCTTTCTTATAGTAGTGACTCCTGAGAGTTAGTCTGATCTGTCCCCGACAGTATCTTCCTATCTCCCTGGTCAATACTAGGCCTCAACTTTATTATATTTAGTCTATAAACAACTAATGAGAAATATCTTTTTAGTGCACCCTTTGCAAAACACAATGGTTATACCACCTAGCCAATCTCCAGTCAATGAAGAGTAGAGAGTATAAAAAAGTGCTGATGGAATGGAAAAAAATAGCTAAAAATCTGATATTTTAAAAAGTTATTCTAGGGTGTGCAGCATTCTAAATATACAGATTCCAACAATATCTTGGCCTTTGGCATAATGTGAAAAAATAAACACATTCACTTAAACACACACACACATTTTCTTCCTTTACTGCTCAATAAAGGAAAGACTTTTTGGAGCAGAATTCCCAAATGGAGAGCTTGCTCATGCTGAACCTCCATGAATATGTTAAATAACAGAGAGGTCAATCAGCACTCTTGGATCAGATGCCGACTGAAGTGTGTATGGGTGCCTTTGGGAATAGCCTCGCTGTGCCTGCTCACTCGATCCATGCTTGCTCCAGCATAACAAATGTACTTGTGTATGTACACGTATGGGAAAATAATGTATGAAATCGCCTATAAATTACCATCTATGTTTACGTCTGACTTTGCAGCAAGCACATGCTTTCTTATACTTGTTCTTGCCTTTTTATGTTCATTCAAAACAAGGTAAGAAAAATCCAGTCATCAACTAAGCAATGTAGTGATGTGACTGGAATTAGCTTGATGAAGAACAGAGCGTTTACTACTGATTTTTAATGGGATTCCAGAAAACACTTATAAAGACAAGTTGACAGTGAATATACCAAATATATATTGTGACAGGTTCCCTTTAATGGCAAAAGGTGGGGCAGGACTTCGCTGGCATACCAGGGCAGGTCTTAAAGTGGCATCTCACATTACCTGTGCATAGAATCTGTTTTTGGCTTTTTATTCCTCCTCCTCCTATCACAGCTCTCTAGAAACGTCTAAATAGCAGATATGGGGGCACTGAATTACTTTTTACCCTTAAAAGTTTATCCCTGTTCATTCTGCTTCAATACAATGATAGCATCCCTTCTGTCCCGATTGGATGGATTTTTCTCTACTGACAGAGGACAGCCAATAAAATTACAGCTAATCAAGAAAGAAGGGATGAGGTGAAAAGAGACAAAGTTGATTTTTACACAGTGATTTCACAGCTGCTATCTAGGGACTGCTAGAGAACTATCTTTTTTCTGGTGCACTTTTGGGTTCACATGGTTTGGTGGAGAGAAGGTTTGATTGCCCCAGGTTTACCTCTTTAATTTTGAATGACATACACAGAGGTCTTTTGAGCAGCAACAGGATTAGGCACCAGTATTATTTGGGTGGTCATTCATTACTCCAGTAAAAGTCCCGTCTGTATGCGAATATTTCACTGTTAGTGTGCTTGAGTAATTTAACCCCTGGAGAGAGAACCCAAATATGCAGGTATTATGGGTGCTAATTGACATTTTAATCTATACCTCTATGATATGGTCATTTTGATTCTTGTGTGAGAGTTACTCTATTGGTTGGAGGTTTTGGGGGGATTTTTTCTGTTTTTACCTCACTCTAAGTAAAATACAGCACATAAAAACTACCTTATTCAATAAAGTCCTAATACAGTTAGGTTTTGTCCCATGGGCTTTGATGCATGGGCATGCACATCCCCATTTGTATATATTGGTAAAGTTGATTCTTACACAGCGATTGTGCAGCTGCTACCCCGGGACTGCTACAGAACTATGACAGAGAAGGGGGGGAAAAAAAAAAGTTTTCAACAGCATACATGCACAGATACTGTTAGATGTGATAGCAAGAAGAATGACAGGGGTGACTTCAAGGAGGGCTTCACATAACCCTTCCAAAACATTTTAAAATTTTCAAAACATTGGGGGAAAAAAACAAAACAAAAAAAACAAAAACAGTGATTGCTATGTCTACCCCTCTCTTCTCCTTTGCACCCTTCCCATCGTTACAATTGCATTTTTAAACAGGGATTGTTGAACATTTTTAAAAAAGTAACCCCTATATAATGCTTTACTTGTACTTACTTTCCTTGCAATAGGAGAGCAGCTACAATCAAAAAGCTCCAAAAACTTTCTAATAATCAGTATCTGTGCCACTCCCTCCACTACTTCGTGCTAAATGACAGCACTGCTGAACACAAAGCGAAGTCATGAAAGCTTGCATTGTGGGAGCAGAGCTTTTCTATCTGGCTCAAGCCAACGCTATGAAGAAGGGGCTGTTAAAAAAAAACAGAAACTACCTTATGTTTGCAGAAGCAATCACAGTAATATATTCAGTAAAATCTTTCCCAGAAATGGTTGTACATTTCAAAAATGTGGTTATGTGGCAAAACGGGGCTTAGCAGAGTTATTTTATAAAGACAACCTGCCCTAAAGCAAAAGTACCTAAGTGATAAGCCTCAAATGCAAAAGGCTTTGCTGGGATGCCGAAACCTTTCCTTGTTAGGGGCCAGTAAAGCTGGCCCATTTAACTTCACCTAAAATAAAGGTTGTTGCCTCAAAACTAGTATGCAGTCAAGCATAACAGTTGTTTCCTTCTCCTTGCAACTTTGCAGGCAAACAGAGAAGTCGGGCAAGCATGTGATCACAGACACCGTAATATGGGCATTAAAAACATCATAGCTTCTCCTTTAAACAAGAATAATTTCTCACTGTAGACGAATCAGTCAGACAAAAGAGAATGTGCAGAAGGAATAACAATGACAATATTTAACTGGTCGCCCCTTTAAGTCTTTTAGCTGCATAAAGTGCTACTTAAAAGCTCTGCTATTTTTAAATCTCTTTAATCGAACCAGTTGGCAACTCTCTGCCACGGTAATTTCTATATAACCTTTTGCAGCTGGAGCTGCTCAATACAAGGCAGCACTAAATCAGCTTAATGATCGCAGGAAGCTCCTGTAACTGCAAATAAAAACAAGTGGTATGTGCGTCCGTGAAGGGGAATAAGCGGGCTTGTATTGTTGGAATCTTGCACCTGTTCATGGTCCATTTTTATATGAGTATACCCCTTTCCTATTATGTCTGCTACCGTTATTATGAAGTTATGACTTAAGAGGCTTGTGACCGACACAAGGATAGCCTTAGAGAGGTCTATGAGGGTATCAGAGTCTCAGAGTAGAGGCTGCTGGTAGTAATTTGGGGGCTGTTGGGGGATCGAGTGTAAAGGGGCAGCTGCTGCGTACGCAGATGCTGGAGGCAAAGCAGTAGTGTTTTGATATGCTGCCATATCAGCGGACATTCCCATTGGCTGACTGTAGTTTGCTGCTCTGGGAGCTGTGGTCTGGTTTAGGTATGGCGGGTTTGAGCTTGCTTCATGACCAGTGCTGAAAGAAGAAGAAGAATTGTTTTAGTAACAGATTATTTAAAGCTGATTGATCAAAAAATAAATAAAATCACTTTATATAAATCTGTAGGGTAATCAAATAATATAATTTTTTAGTATAAACTGAGAAACTCACTCTATTTTTCCTTGTGGCTACGGTTGGTCAGTGGAATAGAAAAATGATAGGAAATGTTACAGTTGTCACTGGAATGGGAGCGGAGAGCAAATTTTCCAGAAGGGACAAGTGTCCCAGTACAGCTGTCTAAGAAGGTATTTACCCTTGATTTCCAATCACTTACTATTTTGTCTTCAAGGCAGGAAGTGAATGGAAAAAAAAAAAAAAGCAGCCTACAGGAGTTTTTAAATATTTCTTTAAGGTGTCCTTTTATCATGCAGCGGTAAATGACCGCTGCTCAGTTCTCCGGAATTCTCAGAGGAGAAAGTTCTCCTCTGAATGTCTTTTTTTTTTTTTTGAAGCGGTGTAGATCACTTCACCGATGAAGGGAGAAGCGATCTACAAACACTTTTAACGCTGGGAAACGGCTGCTGTTACTATAATCTCGTGAGATTACAGTAAGAGATTAAACGCCGTTTACTAAGCAGTGGTAAATGACCGCTGCTTCGTTTGCAGTTCCTCGGATTCTCCAGCTCTGGGCTGGAGAATCTGGAGGGAGAACACAGATCGCCAGGAAGGGCTGACATCGCTCCTTCATACACTGGCCATCTGTGTGCTGAGATGATCAGTGGAGAACATGTTCTCAGATCATTAGTGGTTTAGGAAACAGATGATCAGTGGAGATCAGCAACGATCCTTAGGATCGCCGCTGATCTCTGTTTCATAAAAGGACACCTAAATGTGTCTTTAGATACTTCCTGGCGGTTGATCGGGGCTGCAGATATAAAAAGCTCATGTACATATACAATTACAAACTATAAATGATAAACATTTTAAAAACATTAACACTAGTGATCTCTACCAACAGTAGTGCTGAACAAAATTTAGAGTTTTCACTTAGCAAAATTTGCCATTTTTTGCAACATGCATTGGAATCAAAAGGAAAGATGGAACTATAGTAATTTAAAGTTGTTTCAAGAGTGCAATGGACTTTCAATGTTTCCTGGTGGTTATGGAACCCCCTTTAATTCCTTGTTTTAATATCTTTACCCCTTGTCACCACACCTCCTGGCCCTTTAATTGGTTTGTGATGTCAGGAGGCAGGATGGGGTTTATGAACATGTGACTGCCATGATTGCCTGTCACAGCGTTCACATGATCAAGTAGCGATTGGGAGCATTCCGAGAGGAACTGGTAACTCTCAGCATGTTTGTTTATATCTGGTATGCAAATATATGATCTTTGGGTGTCAAGGCCCACCCACCGAGAGGCTGCATATTTGCGTAGCGCTAGCGCCAAGAGATTAAAGTTTAAGAATAGCATTTTGTTAACTTTTAGGATCAGCATTTCTTCCTAGGTGCACCTAGAAAGAAATTCAGTGGCAGCTTTCATCGATGCCTTGTTTATCAACAAAACCATGCAATCACCATGTCATTAGGGCTAGCCTGGTTTATCGATTTAACAAAGCCGATGCCCACCATGTCATGGTGATCACATGGCTTGTATCAAGCAAATTTTGCCTTATGCAGTCCACATGGTAAATTTTGCAAATTATTCAATAAAATTTCAGTGAAGGCAAAATTGGTAGTTTTGCGGCCAATTCAATTTCAACAAAACCACTTTCATTACTCATCCCTAACAGAGCAGATATGCAGCAGAAGAAAGATCTCAGTTTTCAAAATGCCAATTGAGCTTTCTATGCTCTGATCCTGAAAAAACGTGTATGATCAGTCAGTCAGTATACTGGAAATTAACACAGTTATGAGAATGGGAGAATAAATACAAATGTAAATGGATTAACTAGTTATATGTACCGTTTTCAAACAGTTCCTTTAAAGGTTAAACACAAGGCATTGGCTGGGTAACCCCTCTCTTGAGAAAACCTGAAGGTGGGGTCAGGATGAATGGTAGTTGATAATGGCCAGCTAGACACAAATCCTGCTCTATACTTTATCTTAATCCATTTTCTGTAAGCGCTGATCGGATGCTGGTTTTCCAGCAGACCAGTTTGACAGAAGCCGCTTGTGGAAGCGGCACACAGACCAGTTTCTGGTGAACCAGCTGATTTCAGCCAATATTCAGCTCGAGTGTACCCAGCCTTAGGGAGCATATTATGTAGGCTGCCCTCCCCTAATATTATCATCTAATGTTACTATACAAGAGCCCTGACTGCAAAGGCCTCAAGAAAAAAAAAAAAAAAAAAAGTTACCTCAAGTAGGGTGCTTGAGCTGCTTGAGTGGTCACAGTAGAGTTGATATTCGGTGGCAGAGATCTAAGGGGTCCGATCTGGTCAGGGTTCATGCTATAAGCTTGTGAAAGGTTAGGCGGGTGTACCTGGGGTATACCATGCACCATATAACTAGCTCCCTGAGCCTGACCAGCATAGCCCTAGACAAAGAAATTTATGTTAAAAATCAATATAATCACACATAATCTCCCAAAAAAATTCAAAAATAATTATATATATGAGAGAGAGAGAGAGAGAGAGAGAGAGAGAGAGAGAGTGTGTGTGTGTGTGTGTGTGTGCCTATGTGTTGCCTTTCTTACTTTCCCCCCTGCTATCATGGAAATGGTACTGGCTCATCTGATGGGTGACTGTAGGATAAAAAAAAAAAATCTCTTGGCAGGAAAAAACAGTTCACATATATAGATTTCATTTTTCAAGCAATTGCCAGTCTGCCTGGAGTTCAGCTATAAAAATGACGTGTGGTTATTTGTGAAGTTATAAAAATAGTTTGCTGCCTACTGGAAAATCCAGTAACAGCAGTGCACCGCATAACCGTGAGCTAGCAGGAGGCGTTTTGCTGTACCCTCTGACTGAAGCACGTGAATAGAGCTCGTCTTGTTAACAGCCAATACTTCCTAAAACAGTGTCACGGGTCAATATAAAAGCATTTATAAAGAAAGAAGATCAAAACCGATGCTTCCCCGAGACATCCTTCTGCCAGGTATATGAAAGGATCTTAATCCAATTTACTGCTATCCTCAAGCTACATTATGGGCGCAGAGAAAAATCCCCGCTGACCTTATTATTCAAGATGCTTCTAACTTACACGGGTCAACTATTCTAGACGTACAGAATTGTTGTAGGGTATGAAAGACTTTGAAGATTTTTTGCAAAAAATATATATATTCTTTGCGCTATACAAATACAGGAAGGTGGAACAGTGATTGATGCTGAAGTCAATGTGCAGCTTTAAAGAGTCTTCAAGCAAAGGCATTTGTTTTGTTTCTTTCATGTTTGAAAGCAAAGCCTTGTCAAGGGATCTGTATGGGCTGCAAAGAATGGTCAGACCAATAGCTTAAAAAGTGGAAGGACAGGAGGACAGCAGGCTGCAAGGACCCTGAAGGTCAACAAGTGGATCTCTTGGTACTATGCAAGACAGAAAATGTCTGGTCCTCAAAAGCAGTTTGAGTGTATGAGCACCAACCTGCAGAGACTTCTGGGCTGGTTGTGCACCATATTTGGGGTCTGATAGCAGTAGTCTGTGGGGGTCAGGCATCTGTCTGCAGCAGCCAAACATGGTCTTTGAGGACTGGTGTTCACAGCCACTGTTCATCTTTCAGCCAGGTATTCACAGCTACCATGCACAGTCCTTGGGGGCTGGTGTCCACAGCTGTGCACCGTCTTTAGACCTAGTGTCCAAAGCCCTGGACCATTTTTGAGGCTCATTGTCCATAACCCTGCACCACATTTTTTGCCTGGTGTGATTTCTCCAGAACAGTTTCTTGGGCCTGGTGGTTATACCTCTGCTATGCAGAGCTATGAACCAAAGGCCTAGAAGGCAGGGGAACACATAGCAAGTTCCCAGTATGCTAAACAAAACGCTGGTTCTCGCAAAAAAGCTGAATCCTAAACTCTCTTCCTCTATGTAATACAAACCGGGTAAAGAAAAAACGCACTACTAGATAAACACTTTAATGCTACAAGCTGTCGGCCGCAAAGGCTGACAGTACTTGTATTTCACGTCATTCACAGGGAACCGTGAATGAATGACGCAACTGTGTGAATATGTTCAATTAGTGACAGCAAGCGCTGGGAGAAGATCCCTGCTCGCTGTCACTGGAAGGGAGAGAGGCTGCAGCTGCTGTAACATGTTACGTATTCCACCCTAAATACGCGTGGAACATGTAACATGTTCCAAAAGGTGAGCTTATAATTTAAAAGCCACCCCATGGTGAGGAATCCCCTCACAGTGATGCCTAACTTCTGAAGCCAATACAAAGCCAAAAGTCATGCACTCCCAATAGAGTCTCAATAATAAAGTTTATACAGATAAATAGGAGACCTGCTATTACAGAGCAACACCCTCAGTGCATTGTGGGACAGGCGAGGAAAGAATACAGTTAGGAAATCTCACATTTGGACTACATGCCAGCAATGAATCAACTCTCCGATGTCCACAAAACTAAAAATCAGTTTTGAGAACAGATGGCCTTTAAAAGAAATCTGTCATGAGAGAAATATGGATCCTGCCAACGCTGATGGCTGTCTGGCTCTCATGCCGATGTTTGAATTCAATATTTTCAGGCAGTGACTGGGGGAAAGTATGGAGATAAGCAATTCTGACTTTCCTCTGATATTAATTTTCTGAATGTTTGTTCCTGGGCCTGTGAGTCAGAAGAAAAGGAAGACACAGCCAAGCAATTGGTATTTTCCACAATGGCAGCTAAAATATCTGATGACAGGTGTATTTTTATTATTGTCAGTACCTGCAGAGAAACCCCTAATGATGGCGGGTTATAATGCGCTTGTGGAGGGGGCTTGCTGTATACATTGTATAATGGGGCCTTCATTCACTAGTTTGTTGTAGAGTTCTAGTGCCTCCAGGACCTTCACATTAAGTTCAGAGAGTTCCGAGTGCTTCCTGGAGAGAACACAGGGGAAAAATTATAATAATAAGATACCATAGAAAATTCAATTTTGCAAATGATCAAACATGAAGACATGTTTTAAAGGAACTCATTTAATAAATCTATGCAAATCAAAAATAAGCTTTTAACAGTTTTTCTTCCTCTTTCTGTCTTTTGAGATACATCAATAAGTGTCCAACCAGTTTGTATTTCCTTTAATTTACAGAAGGCCCTGAACAGCTGAGATCAGTTACATTCAGAGCAAAGAAAAAAACTGGCCCAATAGTTTTGGAATTTTTAGATTTTACACACATATTTTAGATGTGATACAGGCACTAGGTAGCATCATGAACTTTCCTTGTGTTCATTTTGCTGCAATTGTCAGTTAGGTTCAAATCAACAGTTAGGTCTGAATTCGGCTGCCCCAGTAATTTCTGTAGAGCTTTCTTTTGTACCTGCACACTGAAGCAAATAGAAGTTTGTTGTAAACACATTCCAGAAAGCCCAGCAGTGGCATGGTGTTAAACTGATGCTTTTAAATGTTAATTCCTCTTCTGTGTGTTGCAGCTCCATCTGCACATTCAAGTGCTGTGCCCTGTTTTGAAATGATCTTTACTTTTGACACGGCTTCCACTGTGGGATCCCAATCTCTGTCTTGCCATTGGATGAGAAGCCCCAAACACCTCACAAATGAGTGCTCGGCTTACCTAACCACGCATGTACAGTCTGATCTCACCTGCAAAATGCTGAGCTCAGCCAAAGCAAGAGTGAGTGGAAGGTGTGTACATGGTCAGGCAAGCCAAGTAGCAGAGTACTTGTTTGTGAGGTGTTGGGGCCGCACAGCACATTTGACGGTTGGGTTCGTCCTGACATCTAGATGGGGCATAAAGAGGGAGCCCAGAGTGGAAGCCGTGTCAAAATAAGGATCACAAAGATTTATTTAAAACATGTCGTCATTAAAGCTGAACTAACTCTTTAGGCGTTTCGTTATCACCTAGTATGGTCACTCCAGGGAAGCATATTCACATATTTTTGAATGTGTCTGTAATGCCATGTTCTTGTATTGAAAAGTATCCTGTTCTCTTTGCATTGCTTCCGCTCTGTGAATTTCCTGGTGATTCTACCAGTCCCCTTGCTTTCCTATTTCAAAGCAATTCCATCCCAGCATGTAATTTGCTTTCTCTGCATTCTACTTGGAAATACCGCCTGCCTGTATATTTACATATACTCAAATATTTTGCCCTGCATTTCTATTTTAAACTGAAAGGGTTGTTTTAAAGGTCCACAAATACTTTATTGCTGCTTCATGGGAGACCTTGGAGCCATATTTCTATTGCTTAGGGGCTGTGTAACCTCTTGGCACACTAAGTGACTAAAGTCCTGTATACACGTACCAAAATTTGTTCGCTTCCTGCTGAACTAGCTGAATTTCGGTACGTGTGTACCACTGTCTGTTCAACAAAAGCTGGTCTAACGACCTGCTTCTGTCTAATGGTCTTGCAGAAAAAAAAAAACAGCATCTGATCAGCGCTTGCAGCCAATGACTGCAAGCACTGATCTGTATATTCTGATGGAGGGGGGGGGGGGGGGTACCCGCTGGTTGAAGCTCCTTTAACTGTGTAACCCAAATACCCAGAAGTGTAAGCACAGGATACTTTATAGAAAGCAACACTTTTGAAAGGAGCTTGGTGGGTGTCAGAAGTAGTGCCTGATAAATGCCTCCTTGAAATAGTTTTACTTTATTTATATTAAACAGGAAACTTCACTCCCGTTTTAACCATTTTTGTAATTCGCTCTTACCTGCTCAATATTTATATATGCCCAGCAAATCCAGCTGCGTTCTGAAATGATCCGCCACTGCACACCAGGACCTGTGCTCCACCTTGTTCTCTGACATCATCATGAATGGGCTGTCTCTTCCTGGTTGATACAGCTGGCATGGAAATACCATACCAGCAAGTGTTTGGCTTGCATAGCAGTCATATTAACCTTAATGAGGGAGTATGACAGGTCGTGCCTCCCATTCAAAAACACAGATCAACTGCCTGTTTTTTATGGCCACCAGTGTGAATGGGCCTTATGCACACACGCACGCGCGCACACCGCACGCACGCACACACACACATATATATATAGTTGTTTCTCTTTAAAAGAATCGGTCATCTAAACTAAACACTCTGATGGAGGTTGCCACTATGATTCACAGACTACACGCTAATTCCAGGTCACCTGTTCAGCACCACTTTGACTGCCTTGGAACTAATATGCAGCTGCTAAGTCAGACAATAGCAGCTCCCAGCACACTGCTATTTAACTTAATCGTAGGTTCTCTTTTCGAAAGGAGTGAAAGTAGAAAGGGGACAACAGCTGTGTGATTTGCACTCTACTAAGCACGGTGTACTCAAATGTTGTATTAGATCTGTGACAGGTTCACTTTAAAATTACTGGTGATTGATGAAGGAAATACTGAAAATCTGAGGTTAACTGAGGACTGAAGCTGGCAAATGCTGCACTATGGCAAAAAAAAAAAAAAAAAGCAAACACAGCAAAAACGGATGTATGAACAGATATAAATTAAAAATATGAAAAGAAAAACATATATTGATTACTTTCCACTGCTACTAGAAAATGCTCTAGTGTTATATTTAATTGTCAGTGTGTGCTATAAAACGAGCGCAGCATAAAAAGTAGACCGTTTTACTGAGCAAGTGCCAGAAAACTTCTTGCCAAATTGCAGCCATCATATATATGTCATAGAAGATTATTAATATGTGATAAAATGAATGTTTAAGTAAGCAATTAAATAACGCGCAGTTTATGTTTTCTCTCACCTGTCAATCTCTTGCAATTTCTCATCGATCATTGGACCCATTTGTTGGCAGACATCTGAAAGAAAAAAAAAAAAAAAAGCATAATATTTCAATTTACTTTATTGAGATTATGCATGTAGTTTAATAATAAATTGCAGTACTTGTCTAGTTATTCGGAGCAGTAAAAAATGCAACTGGAATTAAACAGTCAATAGCAAGAGGCACCTTACTCTAAGTACACTGCGTTGTACAGTTTTTAGTCTACGCTACCTCACTGTCTTGTATGTTCTGTACTCCACACATTTTCACGCTGAAAACACTGCTGTACATGCTATACCCAACCATGATCCTCTTGGTAAAACTAAACACAACGATTGCATTAATCATAACAGTCTTTCCTGTGCCCAAATGAGCACACTCTGCCAATCTATAGACATAGCTTATATTGACCATGTTTCTGAATGAAGAGAGCTGCTACCATTTTATAATTGTTTATTAATTAAGACAATATTGCTCTAAAACTACCAAAAAGATAAAACTGATGTTTTTATATTTATTCGTACCCAGAACTCAGCAGGCAGCACATGACCACATGGTGTGACAGCAAACATTTCAGGGTCGCACTGGGGGTAGAGCTGGCCAACGGTTATAAGAAACCAGTAGGTTGAGCCAAAACTGGCTCACAAGTCCCATAAGTTTTGACAAAATGCTCTCCTACATTGCATAGCTCCAAGCAGGTTTTTCTGTGGTGCAGCTATGCCTAGGCTTTCCAAAATATGAATCAATTAAAAGCGCTAACTATATGTGCCCCACTTTAGATCTATTCACACAGATTACACATCTTTTAGAATGGACTCATGGACTATGTAGCACCAGGCAGGCCGCACAGTAAACATTGTTGGTTCAAAGAAGGCAGGGAAGTATCTTAGAGGGTGAGCAGAATTAAGGAACATTTTGCCAAAAGGTAAAGTTTTCCTTGAAATTATTCTCATCAATTTTCCATGCATATATTATTATAATAAAAGTGATTGTACAGTATACTTTTTTTTTAAAAACAAACAAACAAACATGTCATGAGTTGGTTTTGCACATCGCAGCCCCAACCCACCACTTCTGCGGTCCAGTGTCGGCGTCTTCCCCCCTGCCAAGTGCCACCATAGCAAGCCGCTTGCTATAGGGACACTTCTGTGCGCTTGATCCTGAGCCACAGTGTGTGTCCATTGACACACACAGTTGGCTCAGTCCCACCCCCTGCTCCCTATTTATTGGCTGTGATTGACAGCAGCAGAAGCCAATGGCTCCCACTGTTGTCCCTGAGCCTATGAGGGAGGGGAGAGAGCGGAGAGTGTCACTATCATCTTAGGCAAAACACAAGGTGAGCGCATACTAAGATCACACTGCACGTGGATTTTTGGAGTGGCACTTCTTATGTTGAATTTAAATCGGAAGAGGACTCTGTGTACACTTATATTTATATATGGACTTGGGTATATTGATTTCTGTTTTCACAAAGGGTAATCAGCACAGAAATATATTTGTTTAATATAGAGTGGCATATGTGATATACATTATAATTTGGATTTACGTTTTGGAATTATAAATATAAGGTATTTCAAAGTTTATTTGTATGGGAGCGCGGCACTTTTATATATTATTTGGAGAGTGTCACTGCTCTCATGCAACGCACAAGATCACAATTTGTGTTTAGGCAAGTATTTAGTGGGGCAGGGGGGACTGAACTCAGAGCCTTCAGCTTTTGGAAACACTTAAGAAAAAAAAAAAAAAAAAGGACTACCGTATTTTCCGGCGTATAAGACGACTTTTTACCCCTTGAAAATCTTCTCAAAAGTCGGGGGGTCGTCTTATACGCCGGTAACGGCATGCTGACACTTTTTAGGGTGGCGGCGCAGTTCCGCCACCGCCCCCCCCCCCCCCCTTCCAACAGAAGGGAAACTAAGTACAGGGGTGGGCAGGGGCTGCGCTTACCTCTCGGTCCCTGGCTCCGGTCCACACGACGATCCGGTCCAGGAAGCGCGGCTGCTCCTTCCTTCGGTTCGTCCACTGGATGTTCGCGCGGCTGCTCGGCTCCGCCTCCTCACCGGTGATTGGCCGCCAGAACTGTAGCTCGGGAAAGGCACACAGGCGGCAATCACCAGCGAGGAGGCGGAGCTGAGCGGCCCCACGAAAATCGAGTGGAGATGCAGGTAAGTGTGCCGTGCTTAGGTGCTGCTGCAACCACATATGCTGGCTGCAGTAGCACCGTACTGGAACAGGGGTCAGCAAGTGTCAGTGCCAGGAATAGTGCCCCATTGTTGGTGTCACTGATACCAATGATGGGGCATTATTCCTCCCACTGACACCAACGATGGGGCACTTTTCCTCCCCCCCCCCCCCCCACTGACACCAACGATGGGGCACTATTTCCTCCCCCCCCCCACTGACACCAACGATTGGGCACTATTCCTTCCCCCCCACTGACACCAATGATGGGGCACTATTCCTCCCCCCCCCACTGGATGGGGCACTATTCCTCCCCCCCCACTGACACCAATGATGGGGCACTATTCCACCCCCCACTGACACCAATGATGGGGCACTATTCCACCCCCCACTGACACCAATGATGGGGCACTATTCCACCCCCCACTGACACCAATGATGGGATACTATTCCACCCCCCCCTGGCACCAATGATGGGATACTATTCCACCCCCCCCCCACTGACACCAACGATGGGGCACTATTCCTCCCCCCCCCCCACTGACACCAACGATGGGGCACTATTCCTCCCCCCCCCCCCCACTGACACCAACGATGGGGCACTATTCCCCCCCCCCCCCCCACTGACACCAACGATGGGGCACTATTCCCCCCCCCCCCCCCACTGACACCAAACGATGGGGCACTATTTCCCACTGACACCAATGATGGGGTGCTATTCCCCCCAATGATACTAATGATGGGGCACTATTCCTCCCACTGATACCAATGATGGGACACTATTCCTCCCACTGATACCAATGATGGGGCACTATTCCTCCCACTGACACCAATGATGGGACACTATTCCTCCACTGATACCAATGATGGGACACTATTCCTCCCACTGATACCAATGATGGGGCACTATTCCTCCACTGATACCATGATAGGGGACACTATTCCTCCACTGATACCAATGATTGGGGCACTATTCCTCCCACTGATACTAATGATGGGGCACTATTCCTCCCACTGACACCAATGATGGGGCACTATTCCTCCCACTGATACTAATGATGGGGCACTATTCCTGCCACTGACACCAATGATGGGGCGCTATTCCTGCCACTGACACCAATGATGGGGCACAATTCCTGCCACTGATACGAATGATGATGGGGCACTATTCCTGCCACTGATACGAATGATGGGGCACTATTCCTGCCACTGATACAATGATGGGGCACTATTCCTGCCACTGACACCAATGATGGGGGGCACTATTCCTCCCACTGACACCAATGATGGGGCACTATTCCTCCCACTGACACCAATGATGGGGCACTATTCCTGCCACTGACAATGATGGGGCACTATTCCTGCCACTGATACCAATGATGGGGCACTATTCCTCCCACTAATACCAATGATGGGGCACTATTCCTCCCACTGACACCAATGATGGGGCACTATTCCTCCCACTGACACCAATGATGGGGCACTATTCCTCCCACTGACACCAATGATGGGGCACTATTCCTCCCACTGATACCAATGATGGGGCACTATTCCTCCCACTGATACCAATGATGGGGCACTATTCCTCCCACTGACACCAATGATGGGGCACGATTCTTCCCACTGGTGTGCACTGGAAGAGGGGTAGTCTTATACGGCGAGTATAGCCCAAACACTACATTTTAAACAGGAAAAGTAGGGGGTCGTCTTATACGCCGGAAAATACGGTAGTTTTCCTTTAAGAAAGCATGATAAGTAACAAGCAGAATACTGCACTGCCACACGTATTACAGCTAACCTGGTGACTAATGAGGTACACATTTTTATTTCATGTTACACTACTTATGTAGATGTTATTACCTTCCAAATCGAGAAGCGTGACAGAATCTGGCTTGGGGTCAGTTGGATCGATGCTCTGAAGTAAGTGTAATGTCTGGTCCATTTTATTCTAGAAAAGATGAAAAAAAGCAAAAAAAAGGTGAAAAGATACCAGAAAAATCTTAGGTATTCAGTAGGGTTGAGGGCAGGGTTCTTTGCAAGTCAACCGAGTTCCCCCACACCAAATTCATGAAATCAGGGATTTATACACAGGGCACAATTATACTGGGACAGAAAAGGACCTTCCCCAAATTGTTACCACAAGGTTGGAAGTACACAATTGTCTATAATGTCTTTCAGGGGCGGACTGACCATCTGGAAACTCGGGCACTGCCTGAGGGCCCGGGGTCAGTAGGGGGCCCCATGAGATGCCCCTGGTACCTTTTTCATAGGCTTTTTTGAGTTTGGGCAAGAACACAGTGGCCCCATGATCCCCTATTGCCCCCGGGGGCCCCTTGAGTTGTCAGTCCGCCCCTGATGTCTTTATATGCTGAAGCTTTAACAGTCCCTTTCACTGGAGACACTTTTCCATAACTTTGAAGGGGTGTCCACATACTTTTGGCATATAGGCAAATGTAATGGTCAGGTATTCCCAAACATCTGGCTACATATTGTATACACATTGTATATGTGTACATATTCTAGAACTACTAAACCAAGTTCACAATAATACCATATAGTTTCCCTTTAACAATCCTAAAAGACTGGGGGAGCTCCTGTGGCATCTAGACATGTGAACAAGGTGCTTCACCTCTATATGGGATACAAATTAGTAATGTTTATTATCTTTATTATTTTTTTTTTGTGCTTAATTTATATATTATATGTGATTTTTGTTTTCTTTGTACATTTAATGACTGCTGCTGAATTCTCACGCATCCTGAGGAAGATAATAAAGAAAATGCATTGACTCATGAGGACTCACGACTTTACCATACAACTATATATTTGGTAAATTATTAAAGCACAATTATATCAATATGAACAGTGGTGATATTGAGTCAGCAGTCCTATTCACTACAAAATAATGTGTATATTGTTTTCTAAGTGAAATCCTAACTTGAGTCACAAGATGTTTTTAATATGGTTGTAAATAAACATTGTATTTTATGAATTATTGTGTGTTCTCTTTCATTGCCAGTAACATCCATCATATTTTTCTCTGGCTTTCTGGAAGTACAAGCAGGCAAGTCTTTAAACAGAGCAGAGATATGCTGGATAAAATGTAACACTCTGAATAGTAAAAGATTTAAATTCAGGAAAGAAGGCAGAAAACGCCAAACTCTAGCAGAAAAAACAATGAATGCAGCAATGCATGTGCTTATTAAAAAGTGAGCAGACGGGTGATTCTGTACCGTACACTATCCATTCATAAGGCTAGAGGCATGTCCTTGACCAGGTTGTGCCAGAGGTACCATGAATGCCAAGAATCTGGATGTGCTTTCTGCCCCTGGGGTCTGGATCACAAAACCAGCTTGTGAGAGTAACAAATTTGATGGCATCTACAACAGTTCCAGCCTGTGCATGCAGCAGTTTGCCTTGTGCTCACCTGTAAAATTGAGACATGTTAACTTACTTCGTCTATGTACACTGGTTCAGGTTCTGACTTTGTCACAGTTTCTGGAGGTTCATCATAAGCAGCAGAATTTTCAGCAACTGCAAAAAAAATAAAAAAAAATAAAAATAAACAAACTAAATAAATGAATACAAATAAAATTAAATAAAAGTTACCAATTCACATTTTGTACTCAAAAGGATAAAATGGCATATTTATTTTACCCAATGTACTTCACATATTCTCATATAAGCTTTTACACGCTAAAGTAAAACTAAAGGCAAAACTTTTTTTTGTCAATTTTAGATAGAGCAAGAGATGGTTGTAACCCCTGCCAGGTTTATTTTTACCATTTATGTTCCATTGAGATTTCGTTTCACTTCCTGCCCAAAGTGTAGGAAATCCTGGTTGTCACCAGAAATAGTGCCCCCATTGGATGTTTTCCCCTCTAATACTGTTCTGGGGACCTCCCAATTTTTTTTTTTATTTTAACTTTTAATGATAATGGGAAATGATCAGCATATTGGGGGGTGTAGTGCCAGGCTCCTGCAGACTGTCAGTATAGCTTTCTCCCTGTAGATAGTTGTAGTTCATTCATTCACAAAACCCTGTGAATGAATGACACAGCCGAGTGGGTGGAGCCCCACACAGCCACGCGCTCTTTAAATGGCAACAGCAGGTGACGGGTTAGAGGATATAAATTAGTTAAAAAAGTGTCAACCTCCTCTGATTAAACATAAAATGGACAAATGTTACACTTTTACATACAAAACCATATACAGTGCCTTGAAAAAGTATTCATACCCCTTGAAAATTTCCACATTTTGCCATGTCACAACCAAAAACGTAAATGTATTTTATTGTGATTTTATTTGATAGACCAACACAAAGTGGCACATAATTGTGAAGTAGAAGGAAAATGATAAATGGTTTTCAAAATGTTTTACAAATTAATATTTGAAAAGTGTGGCATGCATTTGTATTCAGCTCCCTTTACTCGGATACCGCAAACTAAAAGTTAGTGGAACCAACTGCCTTCAGAAGTCACCTAATAAAGTATAAATACAGCTGTTCTGTGAAGCCCTCAGAGGTTTGTTAGAGAACATTAGTGGACAAACAGCATCATGAAAGCCAAGGAACACACCAGACAGGTCAGGGATAAAGTTGTGGAGAAGTATAAAGCAGGGTTAGGTTATAGAAAAAATATCCCACGCTTTGAGCATCTCACGGAGCACTGTTCACTATTATAATACTATTACGAATACTATTATATATTTGAATATATTTATAAACAATATAGGGTCTGAGATTATTAATCCCATTTCAGTCTTTGCAGATGACACCAAGCTGTGCAGTGGAATAATGTCCTTACAGGATGTCTCCAACTTACAAGCCGACCTCAATGCACTGTGTAATTGGGCAACTATGTGGCAAATGAGGTTTAATGTTGATAAATGTAAGGTTCTGCACTTGGGGGCTAAGAATATGCATGCATCATACATACTGGGGGGAGTACAACTGGGGGAATCAATGGTGGAGAAGGCTCTGGGAGTTCTGGTAGATCACAAGCCTAATAATGGCATGCAATGCCAAGCTGCGGTTTCTAAAGCGAGCAAAATCCTCTCGTATTAAAAGAGGTATAGACTCCAGAGAGAGAGATATCATATTACCCCGGTACAAATCATTAGTAAGACCTCATCTGGAATATGCAGTTCAGTTTTGGGCACCAATTCACAAAAAGAAAATTGGGGAACTGGAGAAAGTACAGAGAAGGGCAACCAAACTGATAAGAGGCATGGAGGAGGTCAGCTATGAGGAAAGATTAGAGGAAATTAATTTATTCTCTCTTGAGAAAGAGGAGATTAAAGGGGATATGATCAACATGTATAAATACATCAGTGGTTCATATAGTGAACTCGGTGTAGAGTCATTCACCCTGAGGTCATCACAGAGGACAAGGGGGCACTCTTTATGTCTGGAGGAAAATAAATTTAATCTCCAAACACGGAAAGGTTTCTTCACAGTGAGAGCTGTGAAAATGTGGAATAGACTTCCTCAAGCGTTGGTTCTAGCCAGCTCAGTGGATTGCTTTGAAAAAGTCCTGGATTCTTTCTTGGATACACAGAATATAACTGGATACTATTTATAGGTAAAGTTGATCCAGGGAATATCTGATTGCCTCTCGAGGAATCAGGAATGAATTTTTTTCCCTGCAGGAGCAAATTGGATCAGGCTTTGCTGGGTTTTTGCCTTCCTCTGGATCAACTGTGGGTGTTGGATTATATCTTTTTTTTTCTTTTATGGTTGAACTGGATGGACTTTTGTCTTTTTTCAGCCAGACTAACTATGTAACGATGTTTTAGGTTAGTGGGCTGAGTAACCCAAATTATTCATTTGTGTCTCTGTGGCAGACCGTGGATCCTAACCGGTTGATATATAGCATACATGCTACATATAACATGCACTCAGCTATTACCCGATCCTCATCAGTGTAAGGGACAGAACACAAGACTAGGATTGAGGAGAGGAGTTACCCAACTAAAAGAGCTGGTCAGTTTAGGTTTCTGCGTTCCAAACATCCTCAGCCATTGACAACAAAATGCTAGACCAGATTTTTAAACTTTGCACCTGACAATGCATATGGCCAATTGTTTTCCTTTTCTTTCTTTTTCTTACCAACAATTTTGCACTCTTACAAGACAGAGGACGTCTATACTTAAAGCTGCACAACTAAAAACTAGTATCTGCTATAGAACAGAAGCAAAGATGAAGCACCGTATGCTATATCTATATCTGGAAAGAACAGACACATGTACAGTATCTAAAATGAATGCAGCAGTGGTTTCTGTAGCCAAGACTCAGATCTTTAGCAGAGCTCTGCACATCATTTTCAGAAGGCAGCTCATTAACAACACATCAATTAACCATTACTGCTCAGGAAGAAGAAGAAGAATGTAGGAGGGAGCACTGCAGTCATCTTCCATGCATGAAAAGAATGGTGCAAAACAGACCATAGCAGCTCCTGACATCTGAAAAAATTGCAATGGTGTCCTTTCTGCTAATGTAATAAAAACAAATGCTTTTAGGTCTAAAACTGTTCAGACTGACCAAAACGCCAGCTTCTTACACTGATGTCTTTAACCACCTCCCGCCCGCCATATAGTCCAATGACGGGCACAAGGTGGTTCTCTCGTTTCTGATAGGATGTCATATGACGTCCTGCCATTCTCACCGCGCATGCGCGGCTCAGGGAGCACGCAGCGCGGCGATCAGCGGTGCTCTGTGTCCCTCGGACACAGGGGATCACCGATCACGGAAAGAGCTGAAGATGTCGGCTCGGTCACGTGATCAGCTGTGTCCAATCACAGCTGATCACATGTAAACAGGGAAATGCCGGGTTATCGGCATTTCTCTCCTCTCGAGCTGTCACGCTGACAGCTCATGAGGAGAGAAGAGCCGGTAATCGGCTTTCCGCGGAGGGGACATGTACACTGATCATCAGGGCACTGATGATCAGTGTGCCCTGATGATCAGTGTGGCCCCAGAAGTGCCACCTGAACAGTGGCAGCTGAACAGTGCCACGTGCCCATCAGTGCCACAATGCCACATATCAGTGCATACCAGTGCACATCAATGCCACAAATCAGTGCCCATCTGAGCGGCCCTTCAGTGTCACCCAATGCAACTCAGTGCCACCTATCAGTGCCGCCTATCAGTGCCAGTCAGTGCCGCCTATCAGTGCCCGTCAGTGATGCCTGTCAATGCCCGTCAGTGCCACCTACCAGTGCCTCCTCATCAGTGCCACCTATCAGTGTCCATCAGTGCATCTTATCAGTGCCCAGCACTACAGCCTCATTAGCATACATCAGTGAAGGAGAAAAATCACTTATTTACAAAATTTTATAACAAAAACGAAGAAAAAACTTTTTTTCAAAATTTTCAGTGGTTTTTGGTTTAAGAAAAAATAAAAATCCCAGAGGTGATTAAATAACACCAAAACAAAGCTCTGTCACAAAAAAATGATAAAAATTTCATATGGGTACAGTGTTGCATGACCGCGCAATTGTCATTCAAAGTGTGACAGCGCTGAGAGCTGGAAATTGGCCTGGGCAGGAAGGGGATATAAGTGCCCTGTAGGCTAGTTGTTAAAGATTACCTTGGTAAAATTAGATTTATTGTAAAATTCTATTTGAAAGAAGCTGAGCTTACACATACTGCCAATTACATTATAGAATCGTGCTCTACTCCTCCCTTACTTACAGGCTTGGTTGATCTCTCAGCTTTCAATGAATTTTAGAGTTGGTGTCATGAGTTGGCATTAGAAGGCAATGCCTCCACATGCTCTGCAGGGCATCTGATCGCTGATCCCTCCTTGAGCAGGTAGACGACTAATCCGTGTCCGCTTCACCAATGCAGAGCGGAAACAGACACCTCCCATTCTCCTCTATGGGCGTTCAGATCTAAGTGAACCACCTGTCCGTTTACACCCAACTGTCAGTCGATCTAATCCACCTAGACAGAGGGGGAACAGGTCCTCATCCATCGGATCTCCATAGAGGTGAACGGAGGGTCTGATCAAGAAAAATGGACAGGCGGACCTGATCAAACTGCTAGTGTCAAAGGTGCCTAGAGTATCTGATATGAGGGTTTAGGCCCCTTTCACACTAGCGGTCCGATCGGGTCCACCTGTCTTGTTTTTCACGCAGACCCATTTGGACCCTCCATTCTCTTCTATGGAGCAGTAGGTATAAAACCTGTCGGTTTACACCCACTGACTTCTGATCTGCTTAAAACAGATGGATGAGGATCCATTCCCCTCATTCTGGGTGGGTCAGATGGCAGTCAGGTGTAAACAGACAGGCGGTCCATTTACATCCGAGAGCCCATAGGGCTGTGTCTACGTCCGCTCTGCATAAGCAAAGTGGACAAGGATCAGTCATTGACCTGCTCAGCAGATGGATCCCCCGCTAAGCAAGTGGAGGCTGTCCCATGTGAAAGGAGCCTTAGAAGAACAGACCAGTGGATTGTGGGTCCTAATGTGGGCATGGCTGATTATGTCATCTTGATATCAGTCACGCCTGTAAAATTGCTGCCAGTCTGCTCTTCTGAGTGGTGCACACACTAACAGTCAGTCAGACAAATCCTCTGTGATTGTGTTTAATGGGACCTGAAAGCACTTTTAGTCAGAGAGGAAAGACCAGCAACAATGGTGAGGCTAATGTCTACTATACCAAAATAATGGTGCTCACCCTCTAAAATTGCAACGTCCCCTCCTTGGCCAGTAACTGGAGCCACAGTTTATGCTATTCTGACTCTTTTCAAACAGTAACTATAAGGGTGCATTCACACAGGCACATAGACCCGTATATCTGTAAAGTATTTTTTATGCACATGGGGCAGCATACAGCAATGATGGGAAGTCGGTTCAAAAACAATGACAGACTGATAGGCCCAATAGCTATACGGACCTCTATGCACACCTGAGCATATACTTGTGTACAGGAGAAGATGAGCAACTCTGGATGCATTCTGTCTGCGCCCAGAGCCTCTCGTGTATGCGAGTACACCCTCGGACGTGTGTAAGATCCATACAGCTGATGCACCTGTATGAATCATTGATTTTTAACAAGCTTTCACAAGCGGCTGTATGCTAGGCTAGGCACATAAACACCACTTCATGAATGTAAAGGTCTATGTGTCTGAGTGAATGAGGCCTAATGGTTTCGGTCAAGTACATTTTTGCTTTTAAAATGAAATTAACCATTTAAAACAGGTTTCAGCCACGACACTGGTATTATAAAACAGTATGCAGTATTTAAGAAAAAGAAAGCGGTTTTCTTTGAGATTTCCTCTAATTAAAGTCTTCATTTGGCCCCCTCCAAACGCAACAGGCAGAAGAGAGGGAAGGAGGGTGGATAAGTCGCTACTCTGAATCATTCGTGAGCTTTGAGCTGGGGCTTCTAAGGCCTGTTAACCAGCTTTTATTTTAATGTAGAGCATCAGCCTCCAAAACATTTTAAATTGAGCTTAGATCTCCACCTGCTGAATGGCTATGTAAATCCACTGGCAAAATGTTCATATCACAAGGAATATGAAAGCACAAGTCAATCCCATATCGAACGAAAAAAAAAAAAAAAAAAAAAAAAGGTACACCTTTCTTGCACTGCTGCTCCTGTACTTGCTCATGTGGTCTACAGCCTGGGCAAAGATTGCTTTATATATGGATACCAGGGGCACTGGGGGGTAATGTATGACACTAAACTGCAAAGAGACTGCAGGTTGACTAGCAGAATATCAGGATCAACCAAGCATGATCACTACTTAGACACATAAGGCATGGTTACACATTTCAGGTTTTCTTTAACAGAACCTGTCACGGCCTCTTAATGAAATTAAGGTGCCTATAAATATTCCACAACAAACTCCCAATTTTGGATTGTTTCCTCATCAAAAGGCCAGGAAGCGATCGGATGCATTAGAAAGCCTTGCACATTGCTTTTTCTTCAACTGGTATAAGCCACTACTAGAACCGTCTACCATGTTCCTCCCATGCAATCCCCCCACAACCCTCATTCAACCACAGAATCTGGCCAGGCATTGGTTCATTTGGTCAAGACACGAAGATAATCACACTGCAGATACATGTCCGACCATTCTCATGGGTGTGGACAGCTTAAAAGCAGAAATTTACCCATAACAACTTGATAAAAATAATTTTCTTTAGCAAGGAATATACATTTCACAATAATTATGCTACCAAAATTAGTGTGTCATAAATTGCCTCCAGCAGTGTTCCTGTTTCTTTTTGCTGGAGGTGCCATTTTGTTGAAGCCCAGAGCCCCTGAAGAGCAGTAAAACATAAAGCGGAACGAAACCTTCTATTTAAAAAACAGTTACATTCCAGGAATGCCAGGATTGCTGTCACATTTGCTTGTTTCCTCAAACAAATTGTTAAACTTTCAAAATAGCTGGTGTCATATATGATCACATGAGCAACACCATGGCAGTTGCAGATCAAACAGAAGCAGTTTACTTGGCCGTACAGGATAGGAGGGTTTAATTTTGGTATAACCTCCCTAGCGGTCTGATTATGTCAGTATTTCTGTGCTCAAAGCGGTACTTTTTTTGCATGGAAATATGTAGTTTTTTATTGTAGGCCTGTCATCTTTAGAAATAACTCACTGAAATCTGTCCGAACAAGAGTCTAGTAAACATCCCGGGTATGTTAAAATTTGAAACACGAAATCATAAATTATAATGTAATAATCATAAATAACAAATTTAATTCAATAATATAATCAAACCAAAAACACTGAAATTTGAAATATAGCGCCAAGTTCGCACATCACTGAGCAAAGTTGCAAATTCGTTTTCAGTGTCTGATGACGAATTTTCCCCCACAAATCATTATCATTGAATTCTGCAAGTGGTTCTAATTTACTATCGCTGTTCTCTAGCCGGTCTAAAACCGCTTTTGACCTAAAGGGACGCTTTTTTGGACGTTTCTCAGTTTCCAGGCAGAAAGAGCAGTAAAAATGTAGGCAGGGCACAGGACAAAGCAGTAGGGACAAAATGTATGTGAAATGGTTTGATACAGTAATGTTTTACTATGTGATTTTAGTTATTTAGTTAATGTCATTTTTTTACATTTTTACATTTCCCGCCAGTTCTGTCCCCCGTATGTCCTGACGTCGCAGGAAATGGAACCCGGAAGACAGATGCCGGCATCGGTCGGAGGACATGGCCGGGGACACTGCAGGGGGGACATCGCGGGAGCGCAGGACAAGGTAAGTGCAGAAGGGACCCCGGAGCAACGCTGCAGGGTATTCCCGAGTGTAGCTCGGGGTTACTGCTTGTGGTGCTGAAACTTTACCCCGAGCTACACTCGGGAATACCGCCAGGGAGGTTAAGGATGTTAGCAGATTGATCTCTACAAATTCGGCAGTGCCTAAAAATGGAGAGCAACTGAGCATGTGCAGAGCAGGGTCAGACAGTGTATTGCTTGATTTTAAATAGTATAGGCACTTATTTTTAAAGTTTATTAAAGATATACATGCAAAAGGGGCCAGCCTGAAGTGATATAGCAGGACTTAATTTTCTGATTAAAGTTCCACTTTAATTAAAGACATTGGGATGCATCCACACACATTTATTATCAGTTTTCTCTTTTGTGCATTTGGAAGATCTGGGGGGAAGGGGGGAGTCCTCAACCCCACCGTACTTGAAGTTTTATTGGCTCTGAAGGTGCCAACCCCACCGCCCAACCCTCCAATGAGAGGGCTGAAATGACAGCTGTTTCCATAAAACATACAGCTCATCCAGAGTTATATATATTGATGCAGTGGGTACAGGCACAGCATGTCGTCAATCCATATCCAAATATCTTAAAGGAGAAAGGAAAACAGACAACGATGAAGATACGCTCATCGGCAAAACGCTTTGACATCACAAGTCAGTGACATCACGGCTGGTCGGCGCCATACACCTAGTTCCGATGGACACGAAGCATCACGCCTACGCAAGGCGTCCACCGATTTCCATGTATACCCTTTAGGAAGCGGGTCCTGACCACAGGGGCCCCTGAAGTTGGCAGCTGGCTCCAGTACTTGGGAGCGTGGAATCCAGCAAATGGAGGAACAACATGTGGCTATCTTTTGACCGAGCAGGTGGTGAGTGATACTTTCCTCACACTGTAATGGACACATGTCCGATAGGCCCTCATTGCTAGAAGTTTGTTACAGCAGCAGCCTCATTGACTTTCTCTTACAACAGGATGGAGACATAATGGTACATCTTACAGTCGGTGCACAGCACCTTATTTGCATAGTCCATCAAAGATCTATTCATCACCTTCACCTGATGGTCCTTATGGTCATCTTTTCATATCACTCTGCATGTATGAGGTATATCATAGTTAGTCAATTCCAGCTCCTTAGCATTGTCTAATTGGCTCCTATTTCCAGCAATCTTGGTGTTTCACATGTCTATATGACTGATGTACAGCCTGTTGCATATGTTTTCATCTCATATATATTTCCCCACTGTGGTGGTGTACCCCGATGTGCCTTTGCTATTGATGCAAAAGACCTGTGAGTCATTGCCCCTATAGCATAGCATCACTTGTGGCCTGCCATGATGTCTCGGTTTTTTATTTTAAGGTTGTCTTGTGTATTGTCCATTATTAAGGTGATGGCTATTTGCAGTCTTGACTCAATTGTATTCTATGTGCAACTTTGCCAATAAAACATATCCCTGATGACTATTTGAGTATCGAACTTGTCCTTCATGTAACCGCTTTTCTTTATGAATCTCTTTTCACTTTTTTTTGTTGCAGGTTTTTTGGTTACTGGGCAAACTTTATACTTCAGGCGATACCTATTATTTTTTAGGCCTCTATCTTTATGGTAATATAGAAAACAGACAACACACTGTTCTGTATGTCTGGATTGGGTAACAAGCTAATTTAAATCTTATAAACCATCCCAGCTCCGCAAAGAGACACACTATTACTAGGTTATGTTTGGAGCTCTAAATAGTTCTAGAAAAATCTACATATTGGGTGTTCTAAATGCATTCTGTGTCCTGCAACCCCAGCGATCCAAAAGACAGTTGAGCTGCATGGTTCAGCATGGTAATCCAGATAAAGTCAGTTCAAGCCTGAAGGGAATTGTATGTAGAAAGATATCATTGCTCCAAGCTTGTAATAAAACCCACCCACTTCTGGAATTCTAGGTGTCAACCAAAGGGAGCCCAACCATGCTCTGTGAACTCAAGAGGAAAGCAGGAAGTCGTACACCAATGACATCAGATCACATCCAAATGTATTGAAACCCAAGCAAGCCCATATTGGATAAAACATTAGAGATGGGCAGTTCGGGGAGAAGAAGGGGTTGCAATGTGCTATGTCTAGGTTTAATACAGTCGGATGTGATCTGATGTCGTTGATGGGCTACTTCTAGCTTTCTCATAGAAGAAAGATCCCTACATTTCCCAACATGCTTCAAAATTTCTAGAGTTGAAAAATACTTTTGGTTGCACAATCGACACATATCAAGCAATTCCAAAAAGTGAATTCAAAATACAGACTGTGCAATCTGTTATTTTACATACCTGCTTCAGGCTCAGCATTTAGAGTGGAGGAAACAAAATTGGATGGGAACAAGCCTACACCTCTGTGGTTCTCTCCCTTCCACCAGTTGGCATCACTGTAGAGAAATGTAAAATAAATGGTAATATATGGGATAATGTCACCCCCACTGTAAATTCAGAGACTATTAGGATTCAAAAAGAATTCAGTTAATATATAAATGTACAAGACCACAGGGTATAGCATATATAAAAGGTCAGAGCGCTCCGAACATTAATTATTTTACTAGAAGGGTTCTTTATTCCTTTTAGGACACCAAAACAACACTACTCATACATGTTGCAATCTTATTGTACAATGTGCTTGATATATCTAAAAATTTACAAGACTTTTAACGTGTGCAGTTACATAAGATCCAGTCAATTCACACATACAATGATGACTGAAAAAATGACTGAAGAGTAGAAAAATTGTTCACTAGGTTTAAATAGACTGCAGTGAATGTGAATTGGTGCTGGCAGATCCAGTGCCCAACAAGGTAAAATGTATTTATCTTAGGGGTTAATTTAGTATAAGGGGTTAGGTTAAAGCGGAGCTCCACCCAAAAGGGGAAGTTCCCCTTTAAGGCTTTGTCCCCCACTCCTCGTTAAGCACTGGCAACCTTTGGGGAGCAGGTACCCGAATTTGACAGGTACCTGCTCCCACCTCTGCTGCGATCGCCTAGGTTGTCATCCCCGCTCCCTCCCCGTAGTCTTCTGGGACAGGCCCCAGAAAACTACAGGACCACTCACAAAGCACAGCGCTACTGATGCACGCGCAGTGGGCACCTGGCCATGAAGCCGCAATCTGTCACAGCCGGGTGCCTACACGGAAGATGCTGGCACCGAGGTGACAGGACGGTCGGTCAACCCGGCCAGTGTGAGGACACCATGGAATCAAGGGACAGGTGAGTGTCCGATTTTTAAAAGTCGGCATCTACATCTGCATCAGACTGGACCTCCACGTTAAGGTTAGAGTCAAGGGTTAGGGATTAAGGATAATTATCTGGGTTAAGGTAGGTGTTAATGCTCTCAAGTAAGGAGCTGGGGGTGGGGCGTGTCATCATGCTCAATGTGCAAGACCTCATCTAGCAATTGTAGGACTATGTACAAAATAACTTCTGCACAATACAGGATACAGTGGTGACGTGGGGATTAGAGAGAGCAACCAGTGAAAGGTGTGGGGGACCCAAGAGTTCAACAGTCCCGAAAGTGTTGGTTTCCCAGCAGAGTTTGGGTGATCATTTCACAGCAACAGATAGGAGGTCAGCAGCACGGACGGCAGGTGAGAACCATTTTGTTTATTCTTTACAGGTATGCTTGCTTTATACTGTACTGACAGGGTTGCTTTAGGCATATTAAAGTGCTCAAAACATGAATAGACAGGACGTACTGCCCACGATGCTCACCTATCATCCAGCACAAAAATGACTTCTCCACTTTTAAACGTCAGCTCATTGTCCTCCACGGCTTCAAAATCATAAAGAGCCCGCACTTTTCTGGGCATGCGCTGACTGTCATGCGGCACTTCCACTGATGGGTATAAAGATTTGGTATCTGATGGTTGCTGCTTTTGCTCTTGTAAAGATAATTCAATTGCTGTTATTTGAAAACATTATTTACAATATTAGAAAAAAAAAAAAAAAACATCAGTTTACAACAAACTAAAACACACACACACCACACTTCACTAAGATTGTGAGTAATTTTACTCCAGTCTTTATTTCATCAAAAGGATCATTTTGAACTTAAAAGTGGTTGTAAAGGTTGAAGGATTTTTACCTTCATGCAATCTATGCATGAAGGTAAAAAAAACCTTGTGTGTTCTGCTCCCCCCCCCCCCCCCCCCCCCCAATACTCACCTGTGCCCCCCTCGATCCAGCGAAGTGCACAAGAGCCTAGGCTGTCCCGGGACTCCCTCTCCTCATTGGTCAATCAGTCTGTGAGCCAGTGAGGAGAAGAGGAGAAAGCAAGGGGTGTGGCCAAGCTGCAGCTCTATGTGTCTTATAGATGTATAGAGCGGGGTTCGGGGAGCGAGCATGCACCAGTGCCCCCATAGCAAGTGGCTTGCTATTGTGGGCACTGGTCAAGACAGAGAGGCGCTGACGGGAGACCTGAGAAGAGAACCATTGCACAGAGTAGGTGAATATAACATGTTTATTATTTTTAAAAAAAGCCAACAACATGCAATCACTATCTATAGAGGGAGCCATGACTGTCACTAAGCATGATGATTTGTACTAATCCTTTCCTCCTCAACATACGGCAGGCAGTCCCTGTATTGAAACACCACCACTTTATTTCTCCCCAGTGACAGAAGGTATTCCACATGTGTAGAATAACTGCTCCCCTACTGCATGCCAGGGTTCCATTTGTTGGTGTCTACATCACCCCAGGGCATGAAAGCCAATGACAGGAACCACAGGGTGTTGTAGGTATAAGAGGTATTCATAAGAGGTATTCAGATACCTGATTGGCCAGGAAGAAGCAAAGTAGCAGTGTTTCAACACGTGGGCTAATGGAAAGCTAAGTATAGAAACTGTTCTTTGAATACAAGTGATCCTGTGGTCAGGGGCGTATCTACCGCGAGGCAAACAAGGCGTTTGCCTTGGGCGGGCAGTTTACAGGGGGGCGGCACCCCACAGGCAAAAGGGACACGGTGTGTCAGTGGCAGGGTCACCGTGGGTGGGGGTACAGCCAAGCCGACACACAAGTAGGGTCTCCCGGGCCAAGGGACCAGCTGCAGAGGAGGGTGGAGTGGTGGGCGGATCCCCGGTGTGCGTTGGGAACGCGTTAGGGCCGGGGCCCGCTGTCTTGTCCTGCTACCCCCCCCCCCCCCACACCTCTCCCGATGCCCCCCGTCATGCTGCCCCCCTCCCCATGTCACACTGCCCTCCATCATGCTCCTATCCTGAAGGGGTGGATCTTAAACAGGAAGGGGTAGGACAAATTTAGATGGGGGTGCCCAATTTTAGTTTTGCCTAGGGAAGGACAAAACCAAAATACACCACTGCCTGTGGTAACAGGGTCACTTTAAGGAATTAAATATGTACAGTAATATGTACAGCTGGGCAGCACAGTGGCTAAATGGTTAGCACTTCCGCCTGGCAGTACTAGGGTCGTCGGTTCGGATCCCAACCAAGGCCCCACCTGCCTGAAGTTTGCATGTTCTCCCTGTGTCTGCGTGGGTTTCCTTCGGGTACTCCGGTTTCCTCCCACACTCCAAAGACATGCTGGTAGGTGAATTGGATCCTGTCTAAATTGGCCCTAGTGTGTGTATGTATGAATGTGAGTTAGGCACCTTAGATTGTACGCTCCTTGAGGGTTAGGGACTGATGTGAATGTACAATATATATATGTAAAGCACTGCGTAAATTTATGGTGCTATATAAGTACCTGAAATAAATAATCTTTGCAAATTGACCATTACACTGTTTTTAACATAACACCTGCCTTTAGAGAGATAAGCTGTAATGTGTAATGTGTTGTAATAAGAAAAACGGGAAAAAAAACTTAAGTTAACTAAGCGTAACACATAGCACTACTTGGGGTTCATGTGGCTAAGTGGTTAGCACTTCCACCTAGCAGCACTAGGCTTGTCAGTTCAAATCCCAACCACTACCTGCCTGGAATTTGTATGTTCTCCCTGTGTGTGTTTCCTCCCAGTACTCCAGCTTCCTCCCACACTCCAAAGACATGCTGGTAGGTGAATTGGATCCTGCCTACATATATTGACCCTAGTATGTATGTATAAATGCAAGTTATGGACCTTAGATTGTAAGCTCCTTGAGGGTTAGGGACTGATGTGAATGTACAATATATGTGTGTAAAGCGCTGTGTAAATTGGCAATGCTATACAAGTACCTGCAATAAACAATGTCAATAATGTCATTCAAATGCTGAGTTCTCTGAGTACATGTTGCTGCGGTTCAGTGGGACGATGCAGCATTTGACATGAAAAGGTTTAATTTGACATACTGTGCCTGCAGCTCAAATGCACCTGAATAACGAATGCTGCATCTACAAAAACACAGCACAACGCAAAACATTCCAAATGCACATGAAAAGCAAGGAAAACAACGCTCATCAACATGTGACCTTTTTCTGCTAATGCATTTCTACTTTGCACAGCAACCAGGAATTCTCCTTTAGGGGAACATTATAACAAGGAAATATGAAGGCTGATCTCTCCTAAAAAGCGTTCACTTTTTGATTGAGATGCCTATCCAATGCCTTTAGAACTTTCCTAATTAAAGACCTGGGACAAAGAAGACAGATCAGGAGTTTCGTGTTCACTTTGACTTTCCTGGTCTGTAAGCTTGTATCAAGTTAGTGACTTCTAAAATACTGGAGCCAAACGAAACCAGGCAACCGGCATTTAAAACTCAAAGCTATTCTTCTCCTTTACAAAGCATAGTCCGTTGGCTGCACGCAGCAAATATTGTATATGAACATTTCTTATGTAAAATCTCATATTTAAGAGCCTAAAAAAAATTAGAATATATGTTACAGTATTAACATAGTTTATAGCACTAATCATAAAAAGAAAGAAAACTGAATGCTGCATATGCCCTTTAAAGCATGCCTACCCTTAGCAATATCTTCATCTTCTTTATTTTTGCTGGTTGCTGTCCCGTTTTTAGGTGTATTTGACGTGCTCTGTGAATTAGAGATAGGTTTATGAGACGGAGATACATTATCCAAAGAGGGAGAGATAAGTAACGTCATGTCTAGGGAAAAACACATGATTCTGAAGCAGGTCCACTACACAGCACATGATTATCCCACCTGAGAGCCAGAAGTTGGGAAAGTCACGCCTTCTTCCTTCAGAGATTTAATGGTGGCCGATATCAGGCTGAACTGGGGATCTTTCTGGAATTCTTCGGCCCATTCCACCATCAAAGCTTTTAGTTTCTCTGCTACTTTTGGATGTGCCTAGGAGAATTAAAAGAAAGTATGATTTTTGTATTCACCATAAAAATCCTTTTCTTGGAGTCCATTGAGGGACACAGGAAGTCGTTCCGCTTTTTGTTGTACGTGCAAACAAACGAAAAATACTGTAGGCCTGTCCTGGATAACCCTCCTATCACCGGCATGCTTCAGTTCAGTTACAAAGCAGTACTAGGGGTATGATTATACAAACAGATGGGCAGGGCCTGTGTCCCCTAATTTCAGGAAGGTGTGCACCACATCAAGAAAGAGCAAATGGTTTCTTAATTTGGGAGCAATAGCAGAGGACTGCTACTCCTCGGACGAAGCTCAACAGGCAGAGACTAGAGCAACTTAGTATAAGGCAGTCACAGAAGCTGATGGTTCAGAGGCAGCCAATGCTTCTGGTAAAATAAGTACAGAATCTGTGGGAGTGCGCCTGTGGCCCCTGTGGTCAAAGTCAGCTGTGACTATGACTGTAATAAAAAATAAAAACCTCAGCCAAGAGGAGAGCACTAAAGAAGACATCGTTGACAGAATAAACTGCGGAGGGCAACAGGATTCCTGGTGTTGACATCAGCAATGTCAGTAGGTGAGCTGCAATCTGCCCTGGAGCCATTAGCAGATTGTGAAATGGGGGCACCCAATACAGCAAGACTGTCCCACCACCTACCCTCCCTCCCATGTCTAGAATCAGACATGTTGTAACCATGTAGAGGTAAGGCAAGTTAGGGCTCAAGGCAGAAGACAAGACTTCAGGTACTTATGAAACCCAGAAAGCAAGAAGGAGGTGAGGATCTGATGGCCGTAGGTGAGGATTAAGCATCAGAGCTCAGTCCTCCAGCGTTAACGCCTTTGGTGGTAGAAACCAGCGGGAAACAGGTAATTTTAAAAGGCATCCAGCAACCTATGTACTTGAGGGACCTCCGAGTGCTTGGCCCAATCAGAGTGAGTCTTCAGAGACCAGGCAAGTGCTGAGGCAATGCAAGTGGAGAAACAAAAAGCCAAATCTGACACATTGCACACCAAACTCCAAAAAAGGACTGGGCACCCTCAATTTAATATTTGGTAGCACATCCCTTGGAAAAAATAACTGAAATCAATCACTTCCAGTAATCAATTAGTTTCTTATCCCTCTCTACTGGAATTTTGGACCACTCTTCTGTAACCAACTGCTCCAGATTGGAAGGGTTCCTTTTCCTAACTGCTGTTTTGAGATCTCTCCACAGGTGCTCTATAGGATTGAGATCTGGACTCATTGCTGGCCAGATCAGTACTCTCCAGCGCTTTGTCTGAAAACATTTCTGGGTGCTTTTTGATGTGTGCTTTGGGTCATTGTCCTGCTGTAAGATCTGTGACCTCTGAGGGAGATCCAACTTTCCAACACTGGACCCTACATCGCACCCCAGAATTCTTTGGTAGTCTTCAGATTTCAGAATGCCATGCAAACAGTCAAGACATCCAGTGCTTGAAGCAGAAAAGCAACCCCAAAATATCAGTGAACCGCTACCATGTTTGACTGTATTCTATTCTTTAAAGGCCTCATTACTTTTTCTGAAAACAGTAGAATGATGGCCTTTACCAAAAATCTCCAATTTTGTTCCGTCTGACCACAGCACATTCTTCCAAAAGAATTTTGGCTTCCTCAGGTAAGTTTTGGCAAACTCCAATCTGGCTTTTTTATGTTTCTGTGTCAGCAGTGGGGTTCTCCTGGGTCTCCTATCATAGCGTCTCTTTTCATTCAGATGGCGACGTATAGTGCGAGCTGATACAGTTGTACCCTGTGCCTGGAGGTCAACTTGAACTTGTCTGGAATTTGATTAAGGTTCTTTATCCACCATTCGAACAATCCTTTGTTGCAATCTTTGGTCAGTTTTTATATTTCATCCATGTCCAGCGAGATTAGCTACAGTGCCACATGCTGTAAACTACTTGACAATGCTGTGCACAGGAACATTACGATCTCTGGAGATGGACTTGTAACAATCCTCAGGCAATTATTTGGTGCTTTTTTTCTCCTCCGTGCGGCACACAGACACACAACAGATAGGTGAAGCCAATTTTTCATCATTTTAACTGGTTGCCGGTGTGATTTCTATATTGTCAGCACCTGTTGATACGGGTGAGTTTAATTACAAAAATGACAGGAGCATAAAATTCTGAGAAATAATTGCATTCCAAGTTTTTGAAGGTGCCAATAATTTTGTCTAATCCATTTTTGGAGTTTTGCATGGAATGTGTCAGATTTGGCTCTTTGTTTCTCCCCTTTTGGTGTCATACCAATACAAAAAAAAAAAAGAAACATGGCAAAACCTAAACATTTGTAATTGCAACAAATTTCTTCTTAATCATTTGGTGGGTTGATCACCTACTTGTGGCCATACTGCCACTTTACTGGGAAACAACCAATGCTTATTTTGTGTGTTTCCTCCCAGTTTTTACCACATACTACTTCTGTCATTTTAGCAGCAACCTCTGCAGCAGCACCACTTCATCAAACCATAGCTGTTCGACCTAATCCCATTCTAATGACCCAACTGTTTAGGGCCCCTACAAAAATCACCAAATGCTCAGCAATGGAAGGGAAAACCTACTTCAAGCCCTAGCTCTTGACCTTTAAATTTTAGGTGTACTGTAAAAAAAAAAAAAAAAAAAATGTCAAGCTTCAGACAATCAGTTTGTCTAAAAAAAAAATAAAGCTTTTTTTTTTGTACATAACAAGCAAGCAAAGTTTGTGAAGCATTTTCCAGAGAATAAAAGATTAAAATAATTGACTGATTCCCCAACGTCCAGTGAACCAGACAATCTGTGGAACAAAAAGCTTGTTTTTATCACCAGTATTGTGGAAGAGAAGGCAGTTGATTCAAGGTAAGGCAGAGATCAATAAGTTCTTTGTTAACAATAAACACATATATCACTCAAAGGAGAATTATTAGCATACCTTATTTATAACTCCTCGCACTTCACTTGAGAAGTCTCTGGAACATATTTCTAGATGAAAGGCTTTTCCGCAGTTGGATACGCAGGCTCCTAATAGCTATGAAGGTACAGCAAAGGGCATTATGACAGGAGATATTTTATAGCTACAGGATGTTATGCAACTGACAATCAATAAGAGGAGTGTACTTACAGTCAGGGCTTGTAAAGCTACGTGTGGGACTTTGTGATTCACTCTTTTCATTATAGCTTTAAGGCCTTCTTTAGCTCTGAAATTAAAATAAACAGAAATTCTTAATATTCTAATTAATTTTGTATTAATGAGCAGTGCCAAAGTAAGCCTACATATCTGAGAAACAGTGTGAGCACTATCTATGTATGAGATCACTGGATTATTGTAGGAGGCAGAACAAAATGTTTTCACGCTAGAAAATACGACTACATAGTTTTGTGTGTTGAGGCGAGCTCTCAAAGAAACAAACCTGTAACAAAGAGGGTGACTGTAACCCAATCCCACTCCAGCATGCGCATGATTGGCTGCCTGAGTCAATTCCAGTTCACACACACTGACTGCCCAATCCCACTCTAGCTCACACTATATTAGCTGCCCAATCCCACTCCAGCATGCGCAAACTGATTGACTGCCTGAGTCAATTCCAGTTCCCACACTATTGGCTGCCCAATCCACTCCAGCTCCCACTATATTAGCTGCCCGATCCCACTCCAGCTCACAAACTATTGACTGCCCGATCCCATCCAGCTCACAACTATTGACTGCCCAATCCCACTCCAGCTCCCACTATTGGCTGCCCGATCCCACTCCAGCTCACACACTATTGGCTGCCCGATCCCACTCCAGCTCACACTATTGGCTGCCCGATCCCACTCCAGCTCACACTATTGGCTGCCCGATCCCACTCCAGCTCACAACTATTGGCTGCCCGATCCCACTCCAGCTCACACTATTGGCTGCCCGATCCCACCCCAGCTCACACACTATTGGCTGCCCGATCCCACTCCAGCTCACACTATATTAGCTGCCCGATCCCACTCCAGCTCACACTATTGGCTGCCCGATCCCACTCAGCTCACACTACTGGCTGCCCGATCCCACTCCAGCTCACACTAGATTGGCTGCCCGATCCCACTCCAGCTCACACTAGATTGGCTGCCCGATCCCACTCCAGATCACACACTATTGGCTGCCCGATCCCACTCCAGATCACACACTATTGGCTGCCCGATCCCACTCCAGCTCACACACTGCTGGCTGCCTGATCCCACTCCAGCTCACACACTATTGGCTGCCCGATACCACTCCAGCTCACACACTATTGGCTGCCCGATCCCACTCCAGCTCACACACTATTGGCTGCCCGATCCCACTCCAGCTCACACACTATTGGCTGCCCGATCCCACTCCAGCTCACACACTATTGGCTGCCCGATCCCACTCCAGCTCACACACTATTGGCTGCCCGATCCCACTCCAGCTCACACACTATTGGCTGCCCGATCCCACTCCAGCTCACACACTATTGGCTGCCCGATCCCACTCCAGCTCACACACTGCTGGCTGCCTGATCCCACTTCAGCTCACACACTATGAGCAATCTGATTCCAGTGTTTAACAATCATGCACCACAGATGTCAGTGCAATACAAACTCAGGTAGTGAATATACTGTACGTGTAATCAGTGTTCATATGTGATCAGACTTTTCTCTGGCACGGCTGACTTCTCATAATGCAAATGCCAGTTGCCTAGCTGTCATGCAGAGCCTCTTGTCTAAATACAATTGAGCCACTGACCTTCAAAATCATACAGAGAAGAATGGTAAATATGACTTCCAGAAAACTATTTCCAGAAGGAGGACAGCATAGGTGGTCCACATATGTCTAGTACAAAAGGTTTATTTTAAAGTGCATCTAAATCCAGGAAAAAAAATTTGTATATTGCAGGTTACAAGTCCATAGATATGATCGCTGCATTCGTTTTCCTTTTTCTCCCCATTATTTGTAGGTTGTCGAAGCGCATTCACTGTACTTTATCTATGAAGGAGCAGTGTTGTTACCCTAGGACAGTAGTGGGCAACCTTTTTTTTTCAACTGAGCCAAATCTCGCCAAAACCACGATTGAAATTTATTTTGAGAGCCACATTTTTAAAACTGAAAATACATAGGATAGTACACTGTTTTTAGTTTCAATAAGTTTTTATAGTAATTCATCCCCCATAGTAATTCATCCCCCATATAGTAATTCATCCCCCATATAGTAATTCATCCCCCATAGTAATTCATCCCCCATAGTAATTCATCCCCCATATAGTAATTCATCCCCCATATAGTAATTCATCCCCCATATAGTAATTCATCCCCCATATAGTAATTCATCCCCCATATAGTAATTCATCCCCCATAGTAATTCATCCCCCATATAGTAATTCATCCCCCATATAGTAATTCATCCCCCATAGTAATTCATCCCCCATATAGTAATTCATCCCCATAAAGTAATTCATCCCCCCTATAGTAATTCATCCCCCCTATAGTAATTCATCCCTCATATAGTAGTAGTAAGTAAGTAGCAAGTAGTAAGCCAAGTCCCCCCTGTGTCAATTCACTTACCTTTGCTCCGTGCGTTCCTCTCGCCGTGTTCCCGCGCCGTTCCGGTCTTCAGGGCGGACTGTGAGAGGAGCCTAGCTCCTCTCACGTTCGTCACGCTGCCCCGCCTACACACATCCTGACAGCCAATCACTGGCTATCAGGATGTGAGTGGCAGCGAGACTGGCCAATCATTGCATTTGAGCGCGCTGCCCTGGCTGTTTTTTTTTTTGGATCACGCTGCAGAGTCCCTGCCGCCCGAGAGGAGGGAGGGGAGCGGGCGCCCGGCACACAAGAGCCGCATTAAAGCGTGTAAAGAGCCGCATGTGGCTCGCGAGCCGCGGCTTGCCGACCACTGCCCTAGGACAAGACTATGAACACCTCCTTCTTCCCCTTAACAGAGAAGAAAGGTTCTATAGTCTTCAGAAATATCTGGGAACAATGTAACTGATAAAATTTAGCACATCATCTGCACGATTTCTAGTAGGATTATCAAGTGTTTTTTCACTTATTGAAAAAATATTTTAAGAAAGACGCTCTCAATTATATATTTAATAATCCCACGCAAAGTGATCATGATCTTGAATGAACACAATATCAAGCCTTAAAGTAAACCTTAACAATAAACTTCACTTATTTGCTCCCTTTTAGACTGTTCAATGTACCATTAAAACCTTTAGTTATACATTATCGGATTGAAAAGTGTAAAAAAATACCTGTTAATCATGTCAGAAATTCAGAGCTGTCTTGTGCTTAAAGTGAAACTTCTCTCTCTCTCAAGCAACATGGAATATTTATAATCCTTATGCTGCTAGCATTAGTAAATAGATAGGAAAGTAGATCATATTTACTTGTTTTAATCTTTTTTTTTGCATTCCTTCATTTACTTACTGGTTCCCATGCCCAGGCAAATGATATCATACATCCCAGAAGTCTTCAGGAGGGAAGGGAGATTTCTCAGCTCAGCCAATGCCCGAGCTAAGGACAGATGGATTCGAGGAAGTAAATGCTACATCAATCATCTGGTCTTACTCAAGATGGCAACTGCCAGAAATGCCAGGAGGCGTTTTTCAAAATGATTGGATGGTGGAATTGCTACGGCAATCCGACGGGAAGTGGGATCAGGTACCTGTCAAAACCAGTAGTCCCCCATCTCCCCAAAACAAGGTGCCAAAAGTAGAAGGAGGTAGAAGAGGAGGAGGGAGGAGGGCATAAAGCAGAATTTTCTTTTTAGTTTGATGTTCCACTTATCCCTTTCACTGCCAGAGCTGTTTTTGCATTTTTTTTGCACACATTTAAAAATCATTTTAGGCCTGAAGATTACACAAAACCCCCAAACATTATATATTTTATGAAAGCAGACACCCTAGAGAATAAAATTCCAATTTTCTGTGTTAGACGATATTACCGCAAAGGTCTAGGAAATGCAAAATTTCAGTAAGAAACACACTAAAGTGATTTTTAAGGCAAACAAATGTAATAAATTACAGGTCAGTTTAATGTTATGGAGGAGGTCTTATGCTAGAAATATTGCTCTCACACTGGCGTGTGTGACAATATGTAACATGTGTATCGCAATCGATGTTTTCATGCGTAGGCGACCTTGCAATGTGCGCAAGTGTAACTTCTTTTTTTGCAAAAAAAAAAATATAATAAATAATTTTTTTTTTCCTTTAACTTTTTTTTCCCATCACGAAGAACCCTGATGATTTTTAGGTGACGGGTTCTCTTTAATGAGACATGCAGGGTCTAAAAGACCGTGCATGTCTCCTCTGGGCTACACTGGATGTATTGCAATGCAGATTGCAATGCAATACATGTCTCCTCGGCTATTCTAGCAAGGGAAAGTGACAGCGGTGACCTAGAAGTGACGTCTTACACATCACTTTCCGTGTCACAGCCAAAAGGAGGGGAGAACGGACACATGGGCGGTGGAAGCAATCGGGCAGCAATCACCAGATTGTGCGTAAAACCCCCCACTGTCAAGTCCATATGACATATGGAAGTGGCAGCAAAAATGTTAAGGGCCTGTTTACACCATACATGCAGAAAAACTCATGGAAACTGACATGCAGGTTTCACTTGCGGAGACATCAGTTTACATCAGTTTTTATGTGAGTTTCAATGAGTTTTATATATACTGCAGATTCCTGCGCAGGAAAAAAATCTGCATGATACTAGTATTGTCGTGTGAACAGGACCCAAGAAGAACAATTGATTTTGTTGTGCCCTTGTAGAAAAACTGACATCTATGCACAATGATGTGAACAAGCCTTAAGAGGAATTCCAGTCAAAATAGAAATTGTGCCCAGGATTAGTATGTTAAATATGTTTAAAGTGGAAGTAAACCATGTTTGAAAAAAAAAAACAAAAAAACTGCTCCCCCCGCAGGGTAGTCATATTGTGCTACAATGCACCGCATACTAGCACATCATGACAGAGTTACCTGTGAAACGGATCCCCTCCGCCCGGTCACCGCTGACATGGCATCTATCTTCACTCGGTCATCCTTCCGGGTTTGCTGGCTCTGGTCGCTTGAATGATCGAGCCGCTATGCGCTGGAGTCATGGCCGCGGCACAGCTCTCTCAAAGGACAGCATGCCGTCCATTGAGAGCGCAGTGCACACGGGCCTGTGACTTTACCAGCTGCTTTACATATCTCAACGGTGCACGCTTAGGAGATATTTATGGTACCTACATCTACCTAGTTCTAATTGTACTAGATCTAGGTAAACCTTATTATAGGCTTATCTGTAGGTACAAAGAAAAAAAGGGAGTTTACTCCCACTTTAGCTTTGACATTATGCCCCCATACCTCCCAGCAATGTCTCCCTCGGCATCTTATTACCAAGGAAATGACGCCGATGGTGGGCTTGTAGGCGTCACTTCCTGTAAAATGTATATCCCTCTTGCACCGTCAATTCTGGCAGTGATGGCAGCTTACTTGGCGAACGCCCGCTGGCTAGCTATGCCTCTTCTGGAATGAATTTGCTAGTTAGGAGAGAGACACGCCCTGGAGTCACACGGCACACAATAACTAGATAAAGGTCATCTGAGAGGTGGGTTATTTAAAAAAAAAAAAAAGAAATAAAAAAAAGGAGGGAAGAAGTACAAGGATGGAAATTATTTATTTTTTAATAATGCTAATCTTATACATGGTGGATTGTTGCTTTTTTAGGGTGATGCCTTTCCTTCCACATTAAGTAGTGGAGATAAGAGAGGGTGGGTCTGAATAGTTTGACAAGAGAAAACTGGGCAGGGCTGACAACACTGTCCACAAAAACGCTGTTCTGTTGTCAGACCACAACAGGACAGGAGCTGAGTATACTTCTGGAGTGTATTTTTTGTACTTGCAAGGCCTTTAAACAAATAAAACAGGCATGTATTGTAGAGACTAACTACATCTGTTTCTATTTATTTTGCCTTGACATGCACTACAAACCTTACCCATTAGGTGTATTCACAATTTTATCACAGAGATCCATAATGAGGCCCCAGTCTTCTGCAGTATTGTATTCATTTGTTGCCTTTTCTGCAAAATAAAAAAAAGACAATTGTTAGGAGTTAAAAAAAAAAAAAAAGGAGATTCACAAGCTTTGTTACAATGTAAAAAAAAACAAAATGCTAAATTAAAGTGGTACTACCGAGGGAAAAAAATGGCCAGAGTAACCAGCAGATGCTTAGATGGCTTATAGACAAGGATGCCAATAAGGGCAATTGTTCTTACTGTGGGCCAAGCACTCACTGATCGGGAATTTTCTATAAAGAAAAACACAACTCAAAAGTCCCTGCAAATGAAGAAGTATTATATTGACCTTTCTGCTGTTGTATATTTCCAGTCTTGAAGCGCTAAAGCCTCTGTCAGAATCCTCAGCATTCAACACTTCTGGGAGTGCTGGATGCCTGCCTGTGTCCCCACCATGTGCTGTGGCTCCATCCACTAAGTCCAAGATTACTACTGTGTTCTGTGGTGACATAGGAGCCAGAAGATGGAACCACAGCATGTGGTGGTGGTGGTGGTGGTGGTGGGTGGGGGGGGGTGTTGACCTAGGTGTCCAACACCCCCGTAGGTGTCAAATGCGAATGATTCTGGCAGAGGCTGTAGAAGTATTATACCTCATCTCTGAAAGCAGACAACCTCTTTCCATACTTTGTAATTAAGTCACACAAGACTGCTGAACATGGCCACTGACAATGCAAAGAATGATGGTAGGACACAACTTGAAGAACCTAAACAGTAAATTTACAGCATTCTACTAAAGACTGATTCTTGGAAAATGGATTTCTCATTGGATTGCCCTGGATGAAGGTAGAGCTAAATCCACCATTTCAAAATTGCCTCGTCTACAATCCTTCATGCAAGCCCTGTAAACCTTAGACACGAAATATGAACAAAGCATATCCCGCTATAGTGTGTACTTCTGTCTAAATCCAGAGCACTAAGTTTAATTTCTGTCTGCTGCCTTGTTCCTCTGCTACCAGCACAAGTCGCTTCTGACAAGCTTTCCTGACACCAAAAGAAAAATGGTGACAGGGCAATGATGGGCAGCATCAGCTCTGTACCTGTGTGAACGGGGTGTGTCTCTTCCCTCCAATCAGCTTTCAGAGCTCTCCTCATGGATGTAACTTCAGCCCTCTGCCCCCTGCTTTTCATAGCTGTGAGATCCTGTGTAAATTCTGCACTTTGAATGGATGTAGAGGAAAGATTGCTGTAGATAAACAGGTACAGCTTTTTAGGAGGATTTTTTCTCATCTGTGTATCACCTGAGGCCAGTCACTTCACTGGGTATATCCAAGGGTTTACATCCACTTTAAGTATCACATAAAAGAAAAGTCACCAGCACTCTAAGATGTGATTCAGCAATTTATTGCAAACAATGTGTGTCTAAAATGTTCAGTGAATGGTCTGATATTTTACCGGCAACATGGGCCAGGTTTACGTGCATGTACAAGGCTATCCAAAGATATGCCAAGAAGTGCCACCTAGAGTGGAGTACACGTGACTGTCAGGGTAAACCCACTGCAGGCAGTCGAACGTAGTCAGTGTGAGAGGTAGGGTGCAAAGGAGCAACAAGTGAACATCAAGTTCTGCTACAAATTGGGGAAACCGGCGATGGAGACACATGAAATGTTGGTGCAAGTGTACAAGACGAACGCCGTGACCAGAAAAAGTGTTTACAACTGGCTCAAATGCTTTTGAGACAGGAAGGAAACAACTGAGGATGAGCCACATTTGCCTCAGCCATCGAGAAGTAGAACCTCAGACATGATCAATTGAGTGCGGCACATGCTGGCATGAGATCAGCGACTTACTCCACGGATGATGGCTGAGGAATTGGGCATTAGCAAGGACACGGTGCGCACCATCGCCTGCGAAGATTTAGGTAAGCAAAAGATCTGTTTCCCGGTTTGTGCTGCACAAGCTGACAGACGAACAGAACAGCAAAACAGATGGAAACCTCATGTGTGACCAGGATCCATCCTGTCAACCATTATCACAGGGAATGAGACCTGCTGCTACCAGTTCAATCTGGAATTCAAGCGGCAATTGATGGAATGGTGTTCACCGTTTTCCCCGTGACCCAAAAAGAGTTGCCTGCAAAAGTCCAAGGTCAAGACAATGTTGATCGCCATCTTTGACAATGATGGCATCATCCATCAGGAATTCGTTCCTGTGGGCCAAACTGTGAACACTGCATTCTACGAGGAAGTTTTGAAAAGGCTGCTACGAAGCATCAGCCGTGTTTGTGCGATTCGTGTGCACCAATTCTGGGCTCAGAGCAGCATTCCAGTTTTTCGATCATCCACCGTACTCCCCTAATCTGGCCCCTGCGGACTTCTGTTTTCGCACCTGCAGAGCGTCATGAAAAGCATGTATCGGACTTCGAAAAAATCATATATATATATATTATTTTTGGTTTTGGTTTTCGGTTTTCCAAGTGCTTCCTGAATTCTTGGTTTCGGTCCAGAATTTTCATTTTGGTACAATCGAAAATCCTGATTCAAAAGGGTCTTAGTCTCAATTTGCCCCAAGTGTTTCATTGATAACTGTTCAGTCCATACCGCGGTTATGTTTAAAGAAATGTAATGTATGACTGGAAATTGATAAATAATATTTTTTAAAAATTGAGGGTTTATATGCACTTTGTTAGTTACAAATAATGCCAAGCTGATTTACTACTGCTTACTGCGAAGAAAAAAAAACAAACACTGACTTTCACTTCTTTATGGTGCTATTGCAAATCATAATTACTAACTGATGGCCTCAATTCAGATAATAAAACGTAGCTAGAAAAAAGACCTGATTTTGCCTTTTCAATTAACAAGCATATGCTTCTCTCTTGTGTTGAGCAATATGCTTCTGTCAATGTGATGAGCTAATGCCTGACATTCTGAAATCAGGACACACAATTACTGCAATTCTGACCACGCTCATGTCAAAATACTACTGATGCCCGTTTCTAAAAACGATTGCACAAGAAACAAAAGCATATAATCATATTTTAGAATTAAAATACATCTACATGTTTCTCTTGCAAAATGTTTCATGTAATAGAAGAGGATCTTGGGAATTCTTGCCTGCTTTTAGGGATTACACCACAACCTCTCCTCCTCCCTACCTGGTCCTTTCAACCCCTCCCCAGTCTATCCCCCCCCCCCTACTCCCATATCGTTCTTCCCCACTGCTTCCATGAACCAGCTTGCCATACTTAGGCTGCCCATACACCAGTCATTTACTTTCGTTCAACCCACTGAAAGAAAAGGACTTGATTCCCTCATCTACCGGTGGCACTGATCGAGTGAAAATTTTCCAACAGGCTGGTTGTACACTAGCTGATTAATATATCATCCTGCCTCACAGTATGCAAGCAGATTCAAGCCTACATTAGAAAACTAGAGTTAGAAAATGAAATTGATATCAGCAGTTGCTAAGCAATAGAAAAAAAGCAATACATACAGTTGTTACTTTGGACACTGACAAATGGCAGTCAATATGAATTCCTGAAAACTGTTATCAGTTGGAGCAGTAAGTGTTGATCTTTTGCATAAAAAAGTGACCCTACAGATGAGGGCTAAAGTAAACAAAAAAAAAATGCAAAATACAAAATATTGATTGATTCAGTAATAAAAGCGGGTTTTTTTTGGACATCAAAACAGCCCTGACACGTCAATGCATGGACATCTCTGAAGGTATGCTGCGGTATCTGGCACCAAGCAGTCAGTAGCAGAAACTATAAGTCCTGTAAGTTGTGAGGCAAGGGCCTCCTTGGATGAGACTTGTTTTTCCAGCACATCCCATAGATGCTCAACTGGAATGAGATCTGGAAAATTTGGAAGGAGGCCAGGTCAACACCTCAAAGACATCTTCCATTGCTCCATGATCCAGCTGTGATGCTCATCTACCCACTGTAGGCGTTTTTGGCTGTAGACATGGGTCAGCATGGACACCCTAACCAGTCAGCAGCTATGCAGCCCCATACACAAATGATGATGTATTGTGTGTTCTGACACATTCCTATCAGAACCAGCATTAACTTTTTCACCAATCTGAGCTATAGTAGCTCTTCTATTAGACTGGACTACAAGGACCAGACCTGTCACCGAGTCGCCCGTTTTCTTTCTTTAGACCACTTCTGGTAGATCCTGACAACTGCAGACTGGGAACATCCCACAAGTGCTGCAGTCTTCGAGTAGCCCTGATCCAGTCATCTAGCCATTACAATTTTGGCCCTTATCATAGTCACTCAAATTACACTTGCCCATTTTTTCTATTTCAACACATCAACTTCAGAGACATGTTCACTTGCTGCCTTTACCTGTCAAAATCTTATGGCTGTTCAGTGTGTGTGTATATATATATATATATATATATATATATATATATATTCCAAAAGATAAACAAACATAACCAGCGCTCCAATCTTCATGCAACCAAGAAGATGCCAAAATGCCAAACGAAGAGGTGCAGCCCTTCTAAGATCGGGAAATCTGAGCACTAGTGAAAAAGAACAGACAAGGGCGCACTCTCATCGTGCATTACTGTGGTAAAACACGTTTTTATTGAATAAAAAGAGGATATATACTCACAAACCAACGTGAAAAAAAGCAGTGTATGTGGTCCACAAAGACAGTCACAAAACATCTGTGTCTAATAATGCGAATGAGCTGACGCGTTTCGGGAGCTGAACCCCCTTCCTCAGAGCTAGAGATGTGCCTGCTGGCCACAAGCCTATATACTGATGGAATATCAGAAGGAGGGTAGATATATATATATATATATATATATATATATATATATATATATATATATATATATATATATATATATATATATATATACACACACATATACATACACTTATTTTAGATTTCATACCTGTAGGACATTTATGGTGGCCAATAAATTCCCAAAATAGTTCTCATTCCCATGCCTTGTTTCTGGGGTGCTCAATATGCTGTACACTCCCAGAATCACAGGAATGAGCACTCTACTTGGTTTAAAAGTGGTGAATATTCTCTCCCCTTATCCCC